TGTGTGATTGTTGCCTTAAAACCAACCACGTCGCTACTGACTGTAGATCAAGTACCGTGTGTTGACTTAACCGCTGTCGCGTTATTCACTACCCCGTACTGCATTACGCGAAGGTGACCGCTGCCACTTTGCGACACGCCGCAGTTAATTCAATGAGCACTTTCGCTAACCGGGTGGCTCTCGGGTTCATTCCAGTAAGAATAAAAAGCATTGACAGGACCATCATGACCAACACTTTGCTAGATTCAGGGGCCGATTCGTCGCTCATTGATGCACAGCTTCTAAAGGATTTGAAGTTAGATACCAAACCACCACCTTTAACTGTCTCAACTTTTTACACTGAATTCCCTCTAAATTCCGCAGTGTCAGAGCTAGAAATTTGTCCTATAGATGATGGCGAGCCTGTCAGAGTGAGCCAGGTATAGTCAGTGAAGAATGCCGAATTCGCGGCGGGTAATTCCTACCCCTGAGCAGCTGAAACGCCTTAGTCATCCTAGGGTGGTAAGCTTTCTGAATGCAGAAGATTGTGGCATCGGACTTCTACTTGAGCCAAACGTCTCGGAGGCACATTGGGTTCCTAAACAGCGGTGCGGGATTCCGCCAGAGCCGTTCGCTACTCGCACACCGCTTGGATGGATGCTGGTCGGTCCAGTGGAGTTGAAGAATGTTGGAAGGACGAGGATCAACAACCTAAGTACTGAAGGGAACGGAACCTCTGTCTTCTTAGAAAAGATGTCCGAATTGGAATTTACCGAACGTCATATTTCCCGCCTCGCCTTGTCAGTAGAAGACATGCAGTTATTATAACAGATGGATTCCTCTATTCAGCAGCAGGGTTCCCATTATGAAATCAGTCTACCGTAGAAGATTTGGCGTCCGAGCTGCCGAACAGTTTTTCCCTAGCCTAACAGGGATTGACGTCATAACGAAAGGGGAATCCACTCTTGCATTGTCTCTATACCACAGCCGTAGATGAGTACATTTTAATAGGGTTTGCTGAGCCCGCAACGAAAATTTAGGGCGTTAGTACTTACCTCATCATCCTGTAACCCACCCAAATAAACCAGACAAAGTGCGAGTGGTCTTTAGGTACGCAAGCACTTTCCACTGTACATCTATTAACCAGCAACTGCACAAAGGACCCGATTTCGTTAATAGCTTAGTTGGCGTCCTCATGGGATTCAGAATAGGTTCATTGGGTGCCGTCGCTGAGAACGATGCTATGTTCCATCAGGTAAAGCTCCCGGAAAAAGACGGAAATTATCTTCGTTTTCTATGGTGGCCGAAGGGGCGATCAGATACCCAGCCTAGGACCTTTCGAATGACAGTTCATCCTTTCGGAGCTACTTTATCGTTTAGTTGCGCCAGTTTCACACTTGCTCGAACATTTAAGGACTGTGCCGCCGAGTTTACCGATGCAACGCTGTCTTTGTTACTTGGGCGTTTTTACGTTAATGACTGTTAATGAGGCCGAGCTTAGCGTTGTACGGATGGTGCAGAGCCACTGTTTTCAAAAGGAACTAGCAACTATTGACATTAGCAAAGGACACTGTCCCAGTCGACAATTGAAATGTAACGCCAGCCCTTTGGGAAACTTAACACTCACTGAGCAGGGTATTCTACGAGTCTAAAGAAAATCAAACTGGTCACATCTTCCTTATGAGACAGCATCCCCTTCTGTTGCCGCCCGACTATTTTGTTACTCTTTTGTTGATTTTGCACTACCATGAGAAAAGTGAGCACATGGACACTGCCTGCGTGCTTTCGTAATTGCGACAAAACTTTTGCATCTTACGGGGTACATCAGCCGTGCGGAAAGCGTTGCAAAACTGTGCAAAGTGCAGGACATGGAAGGCTAAACCTTGTAGACACTAGATGGCACCTGTCATGAGAGACGGCCTTCCGGCGTTCACTGCTGTTAGGGTTGATTATTTTTGTCCGCTATTTGTCAAGTTGAATCTGTCCACGAACAAGGGATACGGATGCATATTTACATGCTTGTCTCTAAGGCCGGTGCACATTGAAGTAACACGTGGCATGGACACAGATTTCTTCCTCTGTGCATTTACGGGATTTACGTCTAGATGTGGAGTTCCCATGAGAATCTACAGCGATAACGGCTCAAACTTTCGCGGAGCTGAGGCCGAGCTCAAAAATCTAATCAGCTTCTGGAACCAGGATTTTTTAATACAAAGACTGATCGGGAGCAACTGTGAGTGGATTTTTAACCTTCCAAATGGGTGTCCTTGGAGTGGCGCACGGAACGCATGATGCCATCAGTCAGGAATATACTCCGGTCGATTATTGCTGTTCAGCTCATCGACGACCAAATGCTCCTCAACATGATAACTGAACTTCAAAGTATGCTTAACCGAAGACCGTTCGTTAAAAAAGTCCCGGGCATCCAGACCAATGGGGCATTTTATGCCCTAACCAATGGCTAACACTGTGTACTGAAAACACAATGAAACTTAAAGAATCCCAACGCCTTGATACGTTAAACAGACGATGGAGGCAAGTACAACATCTGTCCTTCGAATTTTGGAAGAAGTGGGTCAGATGTTATTTCCCTTTACTACGGACCAGACAAAGGTGGCGCACAAAGAGTCGTGAAGGTAGGCGATCTAGTTTTGGTCTGTGATACGCGTAACCCAAATGGCATTTGGCCAAAGGGTATTATCGAATGCGTCAAGAAGGAAACAGATGGCCACTTGCGGGAAGTAACTGTTAGAACTTCCAAAGGAGTTCTGCGCACGGATGTCAGACTATTGTGTTTTCTAGACGAGACCCTGGAGGAGGAACACGCTGGAGGAGCGCCATTGGAAATCGTCGGAGGAATGTGATTTACGTGATCACAAATCGCAAAATTGCAATTTTATTCTTTTTCCACGCGTCGGCATATGTATATATTTTGTTTTACCTTCGTTATGCTCTTTTTGTACAAATAGGAGGGTTATAAAACACGACTGTAACATTTGTGTATTCGCATCACTGTGGTTAACCGAAACGCCATCCTAGTGGCTTATAATCTCACACTTCACCTTTAACGTGCTGGCCGCTGCCCCCCCCCCCGTGTACCGCTGATCTGGAACACAGACTGTTTCAGCTCAGTGTGGAGCAACATTGAGGCTGTGTTTACAAACCCAGTCGTAAGTCACTTACGTACATTTAAATTTACTGTTATAGTACCACCTTTACGATTTCCGCTACATCGAGTTTTGCTCTTTTTGTCCTGGGAATTAAGCCGTGCTTGAGACTAGACTTATAAAGTGCAATATTTCATCTACTGGCACTTACAGTAGGCTTGACTGGGGCAGTGGTTGCTTCTTGGTCGACCAGGGCAGACTTACCCAGCATTGAATGCACGTCGTAGTGCAACTGCTGTGCGCCGTTCTACCTGTTTAGCCATAACTTCACCTTTAAAGGGTAGTTGTACATAGACTTTTTGGTGCAGAAAGTACGACCGACTGTCCACTTTTCGCAGCTCGGCTATGAAACGTAGTGAATGCTCCTGGGTAGCCATTTCCTCTTAGGGTTTGCGTGATTAATTGCAATTCAACTTCGGTGCATTCCGGCGGGACGGTAGCCTAAAGGCTACGAGTTTGTAATATGGCGGCGCGGTTTCTAGGCTGTGTTGGGGCAAGGAGAGGCTTGCAGTATCGTTAGCCAATGTACGACCGGTAGTGGTTGCGCGGCAGCAAGACGACGGTACGGCATACTTCTGATGACTTTTTTTCTTTTTTCGGTGCATTCCGTACTGCACATCCTGTGGGCCCGATCGTATTGTGTGTTGACAAGGCACGTTTGTATTGAACCGCTGCTAGTGTTCATAAAAATCAGTCCACGTAGTTTTCCGGTAAACGGTGCGCTGTGTCGTTCCATCTCACTTCCTCAATAATACATTCAAGAAAAACAAAGTTATCATCCTCTAATTCACAGGTCGAGCGGGCATTTGGGTTTGCAACGTCCATAGCTCTGGGAAGGGCCTGCGCCACCTCTAAGGATGGCACGATCACTAAAGCATCATCACCGTACCTCCTGCAAAGGCATGTTCGACCGAAGTCTAGCTCACACTGCGACTTGACCGTCGCCATGAAAATGTCCGCGCACGTATTAAATGATCTAACCTGGTGCCCATCGGATGGTACTTCTATGGGCCTCAAGCACTTAACCATTAACATGCAGATGATTGAGCAGCGTATCCACGACAGCGGAACAACCACTCCCGTTTGAACAAATCGAAAGGCTGTCCGCAGGGCGCTAATCTGTGTATTGAGGCCATCCAGTCGAAATTTTTAGTGCGATCTCTAATTTCAGGACCATCCGAATATACGGTAGCTTTCTGTCTACGATAAAACCTCAGTAAGTTGACTACACAAGGGACTGGACAAAAGTGGTCAAATTACAGAGGTCTGGATCCATACGGTTTTTCTGGGGAATGTTTACCCAATGGAAAATCATCGGTCAATTTAGAAAGGTTGTCGGAATATAGAAGTGGATAAATTCGGAGTTCACTTTACTTCTACCACAAGGTTACCTGAATGTTAAGCCTATCAACCATTTGCTCCGATATGTTTTGTTCGATCCGGTAATATCTAAAGTCTCTGGCTCGTTTGGATACACATCATAAGTTGTGTTGCATCACACATCACTCAACTGTGTTATATTCTCTTTCTTCCTACCTGTCTGATTAAACAACGTTCATTTAAGCTTGCCCCACTTTTACTGCCTTCCTGAGAATGTTGTGCGTGATTTCTTTGTGTGCATATCGCAAGTGCTTGACTAACGATCACCGACTTGCTGTGACGTAAATGAACCGCTTGCGCAACAGCGGTGCCCATTGCTACTGTTGTATGGAATTTGCTTGCACTTTCTTGGCTCTCCCACCTCTGATAAAATGAAAACTAACCACCACAATACCGGGGTCCTGGATGCGATACGATCACAGACGTAAACCCGTGAGTGTGTGTGTGATGCATAATGCGTTTGTTCTTTTCCAGCGAAAACGCGAGGCTGTCCACGGAGCGTGACACTTTACTTTCCAATGGCACTGGATTATTGGTCCGTATCAACGAACTCGAGCAAGAGTGTAGGCGACTTCGCCAAGAGTTAGAAAGCACTGATCCGCACAGTGCCTGTACAGATTCCGAGTGCGACTCCGATTCTTCGGACGGATTGAAAGTAATTATTGCTTGTTTTTACCGATGCTTTCATTAATTTTGTAATGTAAAAATGCTTGTGATTGTGTGCTTAGTGGTTCTCGTTCTTCATTCTCTTGCCTGAATCAACATGTATATCTGCACCTAGATAACTGAAACAGTTCTCCTCAACTACTCATGCTAGTATATTTGCCAACTTTGTTACATTCGACGGTCAACCGTGGGGGTTTATTTGTCGCGCCATATTCTTGTTTCATGAATACACCACAATACTGTTTACGGAATTTTCACTCCGTGTGCTATGCCTGTGGACTTTGGATGCTTACATGCTACCATTCCCTTTGGTTCCAACTGATTGCTAGTTCTCTATTATTTGACCTCTTTCTAGTGGATGAATTTTAGTTTGAATTTGGTTTTTGTTCAACTCATGCGAAATTGTGTCACATAAAACTGTTCGATGTGTTAACTTGGGGACTATCCCCGTCCAGACAACTCTGTCATATAAATCTCAGCCCTATCCACCACCTAGGGACTGTCTTTTACTGTGCTTTTACCGAAACAGCTTTGGAGAAGTCCAATCTCTGTAGCGAAAGTAGACATAACCGCCTCTTTCACCTAAACATTAGTGTACTGCAACCAACGGTTTACCCATACGAATTAGTCCATCCGATAATTTATTCCTCTGCTTTCTGTTTTGTGTTACTCTCGATCCCTGATTTCTGGCCGGTAGTCAGGCGGTCCAGGTGTCTAGGTTCGGATCCACTGGTAGCCGGTTCGAACCCAACATAGCTGCGGACGACATAACGGTATCCCTATCCTGCATACGGCTGATGGCGGTCACGGGGCAGCGAAAGCATCATTACGATGCACCGGCCTAGGTCTGATGCCAATCGCTGAGCATTTGGCTCCTGTGAGATCTATCATCCAATTCGTTTGCCGGCCCGTCGCCTTAAGGATCACAAGCCTGCTTTGTAATCCAAGGGCGCGTGTTCGAGCCTGCGTAGGGACCGGGCGACCCTCGCAGTATCCGTAACCCACGTGCGACTATTTGTGCTTGCGCGGCAGAAAGACGTCGGTACTGCTTGTCGGCGTACTTTTGATGCCTGTATGCCGTTTGCATACGATGCTTTCTTATTGAGAAATTGCAGCGTTCTGATTGCACACACTTAACACCTCGTGTTAACAAGGTGACCATAACCGGAAAAAAACGATCAATCATCAGTTGTAGACCCACTTTGTGCCACCCCCATCATCTTTATGTAGCGGCAGCTAACAGTCTATCAAGTTATAGCTCGTGGCTCTCCTCGTGGACATAATTCTCGGTAGTAATCCCCTCAAACTCGGCAACATAACCCTCGACGATCATTTAGCTATTTAATGGAAGACGTTTGATCCGATCTGCGCCAGTTTTGTGATCCGTCTTCATGTAAATCCTGTCGGTTATCTCAGTTTAGCTTTATCAACCAACCCAACAGTCCATCATACTGATTTCTGATGCACTATCAATGCGTATTTTCAACTATTGGATATCTTGTTCCAGACAGATTTCTGATTTCAAGAAGTTTACTAGCTTCACTCGCTTCACAAACTCGTCGTAAATGAACGCCTTACGCTTTTTTGACACCTTTTCTGGACGGTTGGTAAACCTCACGTTTAATAATCCAGTATCACTGCCCTCCAAAGCTTTCAATACATTGATTTCGTTGTTCGTCCCATTTGACCGGCACCTCAAACTGCTCACATTTGCCAGAGATGATCTTAGAACGTCGACTGTCACCGCCATTCATTGATGTCGATGCTTTAAATTACACTTTAACTGTCTCATAATCATTGAAGATTTAGTGTCCCCACCCGCAGAACTTTGCATGCGACAACTCTCCTGACTTAAGTCTAGCTATTAATCGGACTCCTCTTGTAGCAACACACTAGTGATCACTAACGGCGGAGCTGGACAGTGGCATAGTGGAAAATCATTCCGTTCATTTAAGCACATTTCCTACGAAAAGTGATAAGGCATAACTGAAAACTATTTACTGATTGTTCGTCCTTTCATGGGGCTCTGTTCTAACTGCGCTTTCATTAGAAACACCACAAAACTTTCCCAACTACTGGTTTTATTCCCGCCATCATATCTGGGGCATATAACACATTCTAAAAGGCATGCTAGCAATCTTTACACTTACCTCATATCAGTCCTGATCACTCTCCGTCGTATTCCTCGATGGTGTGCCATCCGGACTGCAATTCGCCGCAGCCTTCAGTGGCTCGCAAAAGTACGTGTAATCCCATGAAAGACATCATCAGTACGCCGGCACCTCGTACGGACGCTTCATTCTCATGCACTCGTCAGCAGTCGCATGCGGACTAGGGATACATTGAGGTCAACCGTACCTGCGCAGACTCTTAGCGGAAATCCTTGGATTACGAGCCAGACACCTGAAGCGCTCATGCGCCGTTGGGCTATGAACCCACATAAAGCTATCGTTTTTTGACAAGCCGGTCTGCAAAGTATTGTTGACCTACCGGAACTGCTTCGAGGGCCCCTCGCAGTGAATGTAGAGCTGAACCCATTAGTCAACTGGCCTACTCTATCTTAACTCGGGATCAGCTGCGTAGTTACGTCTACTGACCGTCCGAAGCAGATGCTTAAGTCGTTAAATGCTATTCATCTGTTATCGCTCAAAAGTCTTGAAATGAGAGCACCATTGCTAATATCCACAGAATCGCAGTTCCATGTTCGCGCGAACTTCGCAGGCTCCCTCGCTATTTCCGAGTGGAACCGACTGCCATCGTCATGGATCTTCAGGTTAACTACTAGCTAACTTCCGTCTGTGTTTGACTTGTTTAAACCACTAAACCGCTGCTATTTTTGGTAGTCAACTCGTCCTCTGTGTTGAATAGTTTTATAGCTGTTACGTAGTTTTTGTGTGGGAGATGTCTATTTATTCGTCATTGACTTCTGGCTTCGGCTAGATTTCTGCTTTTTATGAATCCAGCTCATTTCTCTGAAATCATTTAGGAGCTTTCGATGCGTAACAGCTGTCCAGTCGAAGCTTCTGAGTTTAAGTTTGGTATTCGTTATTGCACCAAGCTGGATGCTGACGAGATCGTTTTTCCACCCTGACGACTTACAGCTTGCAGACTTCCCTGGCTAGGTGATGTGGCGCCATCCCCATACAATAATTGGGATTCCGTGGCAACATGCTCCACTTGCTTCGCAAATAATGATAAGCCACTTAGCACAGCTTCCGTCTGCTTTATTGTCTAGTTACATGGACACTGACGATCTGGATGTTAGCCGAAACTTTATCACCTGCTTGCATTAGGAGCATCTGGTCCTTCATGTGTGTCCTGGCATTCATTGTTACACGTTTATCGTCCATTCCCCCAGGGATCTGATACTCCCTTCTCAATGCGGAATCGATTTTCACGCCTTGAAATGGCTCGTGTGCTGTTGGAGCGCAATTATTACAAGGAACAACTACTTGAATTGCAAGATTCTGTGCGTTTGACGGAGCTACTACGAGTGCAAATGCGTGGTCACACCGATACTAGCCCGTCACGGGGGCGCGGAGCGATTCGGATCTGGTACGTACTTTTGCTCATTTTTGTTCAGTGTCACACGGTCAGATGAACTGCCTCGTCTTTTTGGTTCGGTTAGACAATCTCTTCTTACATACTTGTTATAAGTCCACTTATTGCGTATGGCCATTTCATTCCCCACTTCTGTTTCGTTTATGTATCGGTGTTCTGCCAGGTTTTCCAAATTGTTTACTGCATCAAAGACGAAGGAAACATGTCCCACCGCAGAATATGAGTCGACCGGTGACGCAACATTTCAGGACAAGTCACCATCCGGCTCTGTCGTGGGCACTGAAGCCGTCGATTTTGATCCTGCCACTCGCCAGGCTGATTGGTGAGTCCGGTATTCTTCTACTTAGCCCCTTGTCCTGATCCTTAAGCTCGCGCTTGGTCGAGCAGTCGGGTTTATGCTGTATCTTATTAATTGTTAGCTGGATAGCACCCGATTTATTTAACACTTTTCTAAATTTTCTTTAATCCCATGCCGCGTACCAGTAGCTCTGTTACCTCGAAAATATTGATTAATTTGTGAATGCCGTTCTCCAAACAATTAGAGATCTTGTGACATACAGATGAGTATATTGACCCTTACAAGCACGTGACAAGTAGTTCTTTTCTCTCCTCTATTCCAGCTGTTCAGCCGACGTTTCACGCCAACCGCCATCTTTTTCTGGGGTCACCTCGTTGAATACCAACTTGACACATGCATCTGGACGACGCGACTGGATTCGTGCTTTGCGTTCCATCACTGCCTCAAGTCTCAGCGAATCAGCCATACATTCTTTGCCCATCTGTTATGTTCGTCCGGTATCCGAGTGCGGGTCCTTTTTCCGGGTATGTTCTGACGCCCCTACACCTCACACACTTGCTTGTGTAATTCGCGTGATCTTTTCCTTGTCTCTGCAAATGACTGGTTGCGGCTTAAGCAGTCTTCGCTTGGTGGATTTTAGGTTAAACGACTGCCACTTCTTCTTTATAACAGTCTACGGTAAGTTGCGTTTTGTTTCTGTTGCGGCAACCTCAAGTGATCTAGCAAAATTACGCAACTGCGCCTCGGACTCCAATATGCGGACTACACCACACAACGTCCGTTCCCACCCCACAACGTAGCGGCCTCCAAGTCAGTGCGCAGCCATAGCAAAGTGAACAATGGTCTTTTGTAAACTACACACTCGACATGATGATTCATTTCTCCCATAAAACGAACCGTTTTGGCTACCTTGTTCGGTCTTTGTGGGTCGTGAAACTCTCAAGGGCCCGCCTCGCCTTCTCTCTCTTCTCCTGTGCGGCTGATAGAAACTTGCGTGAGTCATCTGAGTGTGCGTCACTCTATTTGGCTCGCTTCGCGTGCTTCGTAAGCGCGATTATTTTCTCAGGGGTGTCCATCGATTCACCTAGCTTCGCGGGCTCAGTGCGTTAGCCAAATTGTGCATTGACCAGGAACCGTGCAACTACGGCTAAGCCATCGCGTCCAAGGGAAGAGTAAAGTTATTACAGTTTCCGTCGCAACGAGACTGAAAGTTAATCTGGTGCGACGGTTTGCGTACCTCCTTGACCGCTGGGCCCTTCGGAGCTGCTCTTACCAGGTTGGTCAATGGTTAGAAGTCAATCGAACTCAGTTTCCTGGTCATCCAGGTTGGAGTTGGAAAGGTGATGGCGTCCATTTCCATATACCTAAATTGTCACCTCCCCGCAGCCTTGAGAACAGGCTGTTCAGCCAAAGACTGGTTGAAGACCCTAATCATCCCCCTGTCTAGGTCTGGGCACCCTGGCAGTATCTCAACTCACCTACAACCATGACCATTTGTCCAAACTTCAACCACGTCCTGGATCGCAGGTTATCAACCGTCACCTTATCTACTGCATACAGCAGGGCGGATAAGCGAAAACATGCTACTGCTGGCGCCTCCCTTCTTTCTTTTCTACCTGTTTTTCCTACTTCCCTCCCAACTCCCATTACTAACCTTCCTTCTGTAATTCCCGGTTTAATCGGCAGCAACCGTAATGACACTGAAGTCGAGTCATCTGCAGCTACCTTGCCACATCACCCAATGGATACTATCGGCAACAGTCTCTTGTAAAGCCACACCGTCCCGTTTCCCTGGCGGCGTTCAACGTTCGCACTCCACTCAACAGGCTTCGCTCACGCGCACGTTGGACACACTGGGTATTGATGCGTGTTGCATATCCGAAGCAGGGATAAATAACCATCATGTGTTGTTGAATTAACTGCACCTGGCTTGTCCTCTTGCTTTTGATTGCACGCATTTGCAAACGCTGATGCGGCAATCACTAGTCCAGTTGGTGTGGGCATCGTTCTCAGGTCTACGGCTTAGTCATCCTTGCTCGATTGGATTCCCGTGAACACCCGTATCTGCGCAGCTCGTTTGACGACATCAACTAAGGTTGAATCACGACGTTGTACAAGACGCTATATGTTTGTATTTTTTCGCTTATGCTTACAACGACTGCAGTTATGATGCTTCCTAGGGAACCTATCACGAACTAAACACGCTACGGCGGCGTGCTACTGGTTCAGGTATCATAGTAATGGCAGGAAATATGAATGCGCAAGTAGGTCGCCTGGGCTCTTCAGAAGCTTAGCTTGATGGTAATTAGGGCATAACGTCGACCGGACGGCAACAGCGAACGTCTGTAGCAACTGTGTGCGGAGCATCAGCTGTTTCTTGGTGGTGCTGCTTTTGGACACATTGCGCGCCAAAGTGCCACTTGGCATCATCCTGTAGCTGAAAAGTGGTGGGCCCAAATAGATCACTTTGCCATAAGTTACAAGTGACGTGGCTCAATCTTGAATTGCCGCTCGTGCTAGAATACTTGCGACTACTCTGATTATGTCTTGGTACGCGTTGTTTTTCGTTTAACTTCACTGGTTAGCCGGTTGAGTGCGCGGTAATCACCGCAAGGGCGCCAGTCACCAGATTTCTTGGAGACCATCTGCAAGGGAGAGGACCAAAATCTGTCGGAAGGGCAGATTATTTCCTGTTCGAGCATGTTCACAAACTAGTTACCTTTAGTTTCTCGGGCGATAGTCGGCGTGGACGGCATGAGACGGGTGCGCCATTCGTCCGTATGTGATGCGTGACTTTGGATGCCACGGGCAGAGCTGCGTTCATTGGCTGAAAGAGCTTGGAATACTGGGAAAAGAGATTGGCGTAGTCTGGCGAGGTCTGGGGAAAGGCGTAAACCGGTGTTATAGATGCGATATTGGCGGTGATGCCACATACACTGAGTTTCTTTGCAGTGTCGACTATCATCTGGCCTTTCGCATCGACTAAGAGGTCGAAATGCCTGGGAAAGTCAATGCGGATAATGGCAAAGGGGCCTGCGGCGACGGTGAATACCCAGCGGAACGTGCGCCGAAGACCTAGGTTCGGGATAAGCGACCGATGACCGTAGGTGGCTATTAGTGTGCCATTGGTGACACTTAGCTTTGTCGACATGGAAGCGATGGACATAGGCGGAATGACCCTGACTTCCGTCCCAATATTAACTAAAAACTGGGTCTCGGAATCATAATCCCTAACGTATATTAGACGACTTTGGGCTTTGTCGACACCGTTATTCGCCATTACGAGCCGGCCTGAAAGTTTTCCTGCTTCGTGGTTGCTCGCACTTACGGGCTTTGTTACTAAAACTTGGGTGGTAAAGCAAAAGCCTGAATTGTTACGCTTCTTGCGACGAGGTGATGAGCTAAAGCTGCTGCGCTGCTTACAGTCTAGGGAGAGTTTCTCGACTTGGCGTTGTAGTGACGCTATTTGCGATGATAAAGCGTCGATTGACGCCGGCTCACTAGTCGTGGATGTTTGGCGCTGCGACGGCGCTAAGTCGAGTGAATGTTCTGGATTCGTTCGTTGGCTGATGTCGTTCGATGATACGGTCTGCTAGTTTTGCAACTGTTGTGAGAGGCAGGGCGCTTGCCACGTGCGAGGATGGCCTGTGTGTTTTCCGGGAGACATTGCATCCGCATTTCGCGCAGAATCCTAGCGTCCATGCTGGATGTGCCTAGGATCTGTTGCACTTGTCGCAACAAGGCTGAAGACATCCTCTCCCCAAGCTGCAGAGCCATAAACAGTTGCTGCAGTCGGACGTTTTCAGATGGCTTGGTTCGCTGAATGATCGCCTGTTTTAAAGTCATATTTCGCATCGGGAGGAGGGCAAGCTATGATATCTCTCACCTGGGAGGATACACTTTACGGAAGCCGAGACATAAGTTGATGATATTTATCATTATCAGAAGAAATTCAACAATTGTAAAAAGTGGATTCTAAATTTGCAAACCGTAATAATGGGTTGTTCACCCAAAAAGGTGGGGTGGTTAGCTCTACGGCACTAACCACGTACGTAGATGGTTTATCATCTGAACTATTCATCGTGAGCACTGAATAAGCATATGCGGATGGTGAGAAAACAAAATGATAGCGAGTAGTGAGTCAAAAAGTCACTGGAACGAGCTCACCAGAATGACGGCTTGTTCTGGACCGAGGTCGCCAATTCTTGGGTGGCGCCTGGTTTACTAGTCGGGAAACAATGACACATAAAAGCCGTGTCAAATAGGGGACAGTATAGAAGTTGGAGGCAACTGAACCCAACGTATATTGTGCAGGCTACAAAAGTAGGAAGCGAATCAACCAGAGCGAGAAACGGTGCAACAAGGTACTCACCAAAACAATTTGTGTCAACGGAAGTGCCGTCATTAAAACAAGTGGACGTTTTGAAGATTACAACAACGGTAAAGTCCAACGTTGCAAAATACTGAAAGAGCGTGTTTTTCGATGCACTACACCCTTTGCAACCATGTTAAGGGTAAGGTGCTCTGCGATTCTCGCTGACAGCTTTCTCTCAGTACGGCCACTGTACTTGCTACCGCAGGTACCGTGACAGAGTTAAATAAGTAATGGTGCGAATTTCGTATACAAGGCCGCCACGTGGTAGTTTCCAGGTGTCCCACAAATATGTGATCAACGGACATACATCGTAGGAGACCCTGTTTCCCGCCAACATTTTAATTCCGTCTTCTATCAGCAAATATATCTTTAACGCTGTAGTCAACTACTTCCCTTAGGATTGGTCAGGCATTTGGCCAGCTTCTGATGCGTTGCGTCTACCACTGAAACAATTGCTGTTAGGGGAATACCTTCCTTGTGGGTTTTCGGCAGTCCTTACAACTAAGGAAGCCGAGATGCTCGAGTGATCGGCCGTGTCACAGTTTTTGCGTGATTCCATCCCACCGTCGTTAGGGTCTTTAGTTTACGAACTTTGATTTCATAACATGTTCGCTTTTATCGCTGCCTGTCTCATCACGAACGAATCGACTAGAGTCTGCGAGAAAATTTTTGCATTTTCTGGATGTAGCCCTGTTTCTGCGTTGTAACGACACCTGTCTCAGTATTACCACCTTTTCATCGCGTAGCTGTTACGTTAAGGACTCACAATGACCCTTCGTCATGGTACGTCACTTCTCGGTGTCATTAGCGCATGACTGTTTGTGAAAGTCTACCCTCGTAGTTGTAAAGCAACCGCTTGTCTCCTCATTGATCTATGTTCAACTGGCTGATGTTCGTTCAGATGTGCAAACTGAGCCTCGACTGCTATTTCACCACATGCATTTGGTGGACTTGAGAAACTGAACCCTAGGGACAAGGTTTCAAGTTGGGGTGACCCACGGGAGAACAGATATCCCGAGCTATTTATAACACGACACGCGCACGCAAAACCCCAGGAGAAAGCATCAACTGACGTTCCTAAGAAAAAGAGCATTAGCCAACGCACGAATTTAGTTGATAAATCGTTGCATGATACATATATTTGCAGAT